GCGGCTTCCCGGTCCCCCGGTTGGCGGGCGCTGCCTCTCTGGGCTTGTGCAGGTGAAGCAGCGGGACACGGAAGCAAAGCCAGCTTGTCTCCCTGCAGCGCGGCGGGGAGAAGCGCAGGCAGGGAAGCAGCCCAGGAGTAGAAGTTTCCAGGTGCCAGTTAACCCAAAAAAAAAGGCAGGCGAGGGGCAGGGGAAGCACCAGCCCTCCCATCCTCAACCCTGCTGCCATAGGACGGCCAAGCGTCCCCACCGGAGCGAGTTCTCGGAGAGGGGTGGCACGAGGACAGGGCGCGAGCGCGCAGAAGTAGGACAGAGCACCTGAGCTGCCCACCCTCCCCGGGGGCCTGCGCGGCCTCCTACCCCAGCAGGAGGTTGTGCTATTTAAACACAGCGTTCCCAATTTCTGCGCGTTTCTCCCCACTGCTACGCATGGTCCCGTCCTTCCACCATTTTGAGACTCCCCTCTCCCCTTCAGTCTAGCTGGATGGATGGAGACCTCCAAGACCCACCTGAAACTCGGCTCCGCCCAAGGCCTGGGGCACCCTTCTGCCACACAATCCGCATTTAACCCTCAGTTGCTGCACCCCCCCCAAAAGCTGACAGCACGTGGCCACTCTGTGTGTCCTACAGCTATCCCCTCAAACGGGCTCCCCCCTTGGGCTCAGGGCTGGGCCGTATCGAGCCCCCTGCCCGGCTCCCGTGTGCATGACAGGACCAGACCCAGGGCTTCTCTCACGTAAAACACAAAGAAGTACAGCAGTAACACATTTTTCAGTGTGGAGAAGGGAAAATAAACCCAGGAGCAAGGCAGCGAGCTAGAAGAAGTGGAAAGGAAGAACGGTGACCAGAACCTGGCTACGAAGCACGGGGCACAACACGGGGCAGGCTGGCACCAGGGAGCCACGACTGTCGGCAGAAACACAAGGGGACGCATGAAATGTTGTGCTGAAGCTTCCCTCCTCCCAAACCACAGCGGTGTCACACCGCACCACAAAGCCCAGACAGCCCAAGAGCCCCCTCACGCCTGCCTTCCGGCGGGGCTGACCAGAGCGGGGTGGCCAGAGAAGCCCCTTGCTGCTGAGGAGCCAAAGCAGTGGGAGAGCCGACAGCTCACGGCCAGCACAGGAGAAGCAACACCAGCGACCTGCTGCCAGGCGCTCCAGCTTGGTGCTGCCAGCCAAGCCAGGGCAGTGGAGAGATGCTGCCAAACCAATTTATTCTGTTAACGTGAGCTAAGAGGTGCTAAGAACGAAGGGCAACCCCATGTGCAGCACGGAAACGGACATCCGGAGGGACTGCACCAGAGCGAGGAATGCTCGGACAGCACCTGAGACGCAGCTTTACAGAGCGTGCCAGCACCACACAAAGGAACTGCCAGGGCCTGGCTAGAGTTTTGTGGGATTTTTATTATTTTTTTTTTATTATTTTTTGTGGGTTTTTTTTTTTTTAATACAGGCTAGCGTTGTACCCTTTACTAAAGCTGCTGATTCTGCCACATAAACTAGAACAGAAATTTCTCAGAAATTAAGTTGGTTCCCCTCCTTGTTAACTCACTGTCTGCCTCCCAGCTGAACAACAGTCTGGATTTGTGTTTGCAGAAAACATTCCCTGTACAAAGTCTGACGTGCAGCTACACCGTCCTAACTGAGGAATGAAGAAGCCGAGAGTCCACTGAACATTGGATTTTTCCCGGTACAACGTGGCCTGATTCGGAGTTTGGTCCACCGAGGACAGCGAGTTAACCATAGAGATCATCGTCGTTGTCTTCACTGTACACGTTGCCCCCGCTGCCACCTCCTGTGCCTTGGCTCGGACCAGCGCCACCCTGGTTGCCCGACGGGAACCTGCGTGCAGCGGCGCAGAAGGGGAGAGAAGGAAGAAAATGCTGTTCAAAAGCCTCCTCGCAGCTCAGTGCCATCCCCTCCCTCCACGCCAACACCATGGTGCCAAGGGGGACAGGCAGGAGGAATGGGATGAAGCCTTACGGCAGGTCACGCAAAAGGCTCACGTGGCTGCCGCCTGTCGCTTGTGTTAAATGTAAAAGGGTTGATGGACTTCAGGAGCACTAACAGAGCAGCTACAACCAACCTGCAGCACAGCCTACACCCACCACATTGTGTACTGGCTGCTGTACACGCTGGGGAGAATGGGAAAGCGCGGTGGAAGAGGGGTTTGTTACCCGGAATCCAGCAGGAAGCTGCCTCAGTGCCCTGCTCTGGGGCCGGCTGAGCCACGCTGCCCTCCCCCCACTCCCCCAGGGTTACCTGAAGCTGCCAAAGCCACGGCTCTGCTGTAGGGTCTGTGCAAACATCTCGTATTTCCTGATGTCGTTGTCGCTGACAGAGCGGCGAGCAAAGCGCATGGCCTCCTCAAAGTGATCCCTGCGTATCTCGGGAACCGGGTCATCCTCCTCCACTTCCTGCAGCAGGACAGAGGGCCCAGGTGAGCTGCGTGCCTGAGCTCCGCAGCCCGACAGCTGCCCACAGCCCCCCTCCAGGCCAGGGTGCCCCAACACCCGCCAATGCAGGAGAGGGATGCTGCGTGAGCCCGGGCTGCAGCAGGGGCCTTCCGAGCAGCGCTGACAGTGAGGCACCCCAGGAGGGCCTGACCCTCCCGCAAGACGAGAACGAAGTGCTCCAGCTCCGCGCTCTGCGCCGAGAGCCCACTCGTCCCCGTCCGAGGATTACAGAGAGGAAGACGTCGCGCCTCACCCAGGGGCAGAGGGGAAGACTGCGCGCCTCACCCAGGGGCAGAGGCGGGCTGCCCGTCGCGTGGGCGGGGGAAGCTCAGAGTGCCCCACTCACCATGGCGGAAGGGTTGGTCTGCCTCTCGCGTTCTCGCCTGATCTCACTCTCGATGGACTCACGGATGGCCAGTTTGCAGGCACGCTGGCAAATTTCTGTCAGGTCGGCCCCCGAAAAGCCATTGGTCATCTTAGCTAGGAAATCCAGGTCGACATCCTAGTGGAAAAAAAAAAAAAAAAAAAAAAAGAGGCAGGCCTCTCCTTAATGCCTTACGGTCTCAGGTGACAGAGAGGTGTCTTCAGATCCCATGGTACCAAGGTGCTGCCTTAACTTTGTCCAATTTTGAAAAGATCAGCTGTTAAGGTTCTTGTTTCTGGGAAAAGTTAACCACACATGAAGGCAGGCCACGCTCCCCACACACCCACCATGAATCCACAAAGCAGTGCTCTGCACTTGTGGATTTAGGATTGTGTGATTTGCTCAGGTCTCAGCATTAGGAGTCAAACAAAACACTGTCAGGCTGCAAATGGAGATGGGGCACAGGCAGACCAAGACAACCGACCTCCTCCTCCTTCCCCTCAACTGAGGAGGCAGTCCTGCAACCTCCTTTGAAGCTTTCCTTCCCAACAGAGCCTAACAAGGTCAGCTTGACATAAAAAAGCTTGAGCTCTCACTTGACATCTGCTTTTCTCTGATTAACTATCAGTTGCATTATTGCCTGCTCCCCAGGCAAGGGATGTAGCTCTTGCCTGTGATAGAGTTCAGCAACAATTAACTGCAAAGCTTCCTCTTCAATTTCCACTTCCCACCCCCGTGTTCTACATTTACTTTTCTTTCAGGGTACAAGAATCTCTTCCATCTTGCCATAACAGGCTTTCCTGTTCCCGCACCGTGGGCAGAACTCCTCTATGTGACAAAGACCTGCTGTGCTTACACACCGACACCTAGTTTCGTTGACACCTAGCCTCAGAGCTCAAGCCTCCCCCCCACCTCTTCATTTCCATCCTTCAGGGACTGAAGGTTTCCCAGCTCTGCACTGCGTGGAGCAGTCACCAGCCCTCTGCTCTGTCCCCAGCTCATAAGGAGCATGTGCAGCACACAGCAAACCCAAGTCGGACGCAAGTCAGGGCACAGACCCTACCTTGGCAACTGGTGATTTCCTCAGGTTGGCCTTAAGAATAGCGACCCGGGACTTCTCGTCAGGCAGGGGGATGTAGATGAGCTGATCCAGGCGGCCGGGGCGCAAGATGGCTGGGTCAATGATGTCTGGCCTGTTGGTGGCACCGATGATGAAGACGTTCTTCTTGGTGGACATGCCGTCCATCTCTGTCAGGATCTGGTTGATGACGCGGTCTGCAGCACCACCACCATCGCCGATATTCCCACCTCGAGCCTTTGCGATGGAGTCCAGCTCATCAAAGAAGAGCACACAAGGGGCTGCTTGGCGGGCCTACGAAAACACGAACAGGAACAATTAGTCCATGTTAATAGCATCCGGTGAGGAGCACACTGATTTCACACTAAGCCTACGCTACCATTAAAGCAGCTCAGAGGAGCACCAGAGTACTGCTGCTGCAGGAGACCTTGGAGGAGCTGCTCCAGAACAACTTCCTGCCACACAAATCCTCACTTAAATTCTCCTGAACAAGCAGCTGAATTTCCTCAAAGCTGTGAGCATTGTGAACCAGGCAGGAGGCTGGTAACTCCAATGGCTAGAGGGAAAGCTGGAGCCAATTTGCCTGGACTAGAACTCTCCCTGCAAGACCGGGGGACATCAACTGGTCATTTAGGCACTCAAGTATCAGTAGGGGAGATACACCCAATGGAAGGGGGAAATCCAATCGTTCTCTTCAGCTACCTAATGGTTAGTTATATGGAAAAGGGAGCCAGATCTTTCTTCAGGGTGTGGAGTGAAAGGATGAAAGACCACAGGCACAAATGGCTGTGAAGAAAATTCCAGTTAGAAATAAAGGAAAAAATAATTTATTCACAATGAGAGAGCTCAAATACCAGCACACAGGCACAGAGAGGTCAGGGATTCTCCACCCTTAGCATGTATTCAGGACACAAGGCCCCAAGCAACCTGATCACATTTCCAAGTTATCTCCCTGCTCTGGACAAACAGCCGGACTAGATGGCCTCTGAGGTTCCCTCCCAACCTCAATTTTTCTCTCTCACTCTCCTTCCAACTTCGTGCTGTCCACCTTCCCTGACCACAAGAGCGAGGATTCCCAGGATAATCCATGCAGATACCTTCTGGGACAGGAGGTGACACTATCTACGGGGCAAGTGAGCAGTAGGCATGAGCTCCTTTCTAAGCCATGTATACTGCAGGACAAGAACCCACAGGATATTTTGAAAATCTGTAGATGGTGAGGGCTAATGAGGTGTCAAGGTAAATTTTCAGGGATGTGGAGGTTATCTGTGCCATCCTAATGCCAGCCTCACTGCTAAGGCACTGGGGCATTTATCATCCTGTAACAACAGATGCAAACCGCAGCCAGAGAGAACAGTTTAAATCACTATGTTGCTGAAGAGGATTAATTCCCTAACATCAGGAAAGCAGCCCCAGCTCTCAGTGCAAGTGGGGAAAACACAAAAGACACAAACAAGAATCAAGCCAGTAAGACAGACGCAGTGGAGACAAAGTTCTGGGGGTACCTCAGCACAAATACTGCCCAGGGAGCAGAAGAAACACTTACCTTGTCAAAGATCTCGCGCACGTTGGCTTCAGACTCACCAAACCACATGGTGAGCAATTCTGGCCCCTTGATGGAAATGAAGTTTGCCTGGCATTCGTTGGCAATGGCTTTGGCCAGCAGTGTCTTACCACAACCAGGTGGTCCGTAGAACAGAACCCCTTTCGATGGGGTCATACCAAATTTGAGGAACTTGTCTGGGTGCTCCACAGGATACTGAAGGAGAAGAAAACAAACAAAAACCTCTCATGATGAGCCAGAACAGGCCTGTACCTCAGAACCACGGAATGGCTTGGGTAGGAAGGCACCTTCAAAGATCATCTAAGCCAACCCCTCTGCCATTGGAAGGGACATCTTTTTCTAGGTCAGTTTTGGTTTTCCTCCTACCAGAAACACTACCTGAGCTTTCTGATGGGTTAAACACAAGATCCTGCCTGTTCAGGGCCACTGGAGTTTTTAATTGACACTGGTTTGAAAAGCACCGCAGCTGGATTGGAAAGCTGCCTTAAACAACCAATTTACCTCTAAGAACTAAGTACAACTTCAGGTAGTTTTCCAGCACACTTAACCCCAACTTCACTCTGCCCTGCAGAAGCAAAAGGGAACAGCTCATTATCTCATCTATTCACTCTGCTCTCCAGAGAGAGGCAAGGTGTCCAATGCGAGCATTTATCCTCAGCAACGAGGTCAGAGATAGGTGATGATTTTAACATCAGAAAATGAGATTGAAAATTACATTCTTTTATTGACAGACAGGATGTTTCTACAGTGACAACTGAAAGCAGGAACGTATCAAGCCCAAATCATCCCAAGGCAGCAACCAGGAGTTTCCACAGACCATTCATGACTTTTTGTCGCAGTCTTTCCCTTCGTAGAAGGTTTCCCAATTACTTGGGGGACGCCCTTTGGAGGCTCTCTGTATGAGAATCTTCACTCACTTTCTGGCATATAAAGCCACCACGTACGAGGATTCTCAGCAGTGGTTCCACTGCTGGTCTCCACTTAAGAGAAGCAGAACTGCTGCTGTTTCTGCGTGTAGCACAGCGCCCACCCAAGACTACACTGTAGATTCAACTAAGGAAAGCCTGATGCTGCTTCCCAGCACCTCCCTCTCCAAGCTTCACTAAGATGGAACAGCATGGTATTTTTAGTCCATTACAAGCAAATACCATAAAAACCTTTGTGCTTACCCTGTTCACAGCCCAAACAGCAATCTGAAGTAGTTCTGGATTTTATTATTAGAACTATTTTTCAAGCTGACTAGGCAAAAATCTGTTGGAAACCCTTACCTGCACAAGCTCCTGGAGTTCTCTCTTTACATCTTCTAGACCACCAATATCTTCCCAAGTAACTTGTGGCACCTCCACTACAGTCTCCCGAAGAGCAGAAGGGTTGCTCTGGCTCAGAGCCCACTATCATTAGAAGAAAGCATTAAATGAGTTCTAACACATCATATTCACTTGCTTCAGATAAGCTATCAGACTTTGCACCCAAAAGAAAGAGGGGCACTCCTGCATTACCCTGAAGTCATCCATGGTCACAGCCAGCGAGTTCATCACTTCAGCATCAATGGTTTCATCTTCTAGGTCTATGAGATCCATCTTCTTTCTGATAGCCTGAAGAGCAGCTTCTGAGCAAAGAGCAGCCAAGTCAGCACCAACATGGCCATGGGTCTCGTTTGCCACCTGAAAGCAGAGCACTGACTATGACTCACAGGGATACAAGCAAACGCTCTGCGAGGGCAATGCATGCTCTGGTCACTCACTGGGAAATGCAACAAAGCTCTCAAGGACAGGAACATGAGTGTTTTGCTGTGAATTCAAGACAAGTGCCACCACGTATTTAAAGGCAAAGACACTGCTGTTCCACCTCCTACTTGAAGTCAAAGCTGCAATCTGGAATTCAGGTGGTGTGCACAAAGATAACCCTGATGAATGCAGGACAGAGATTACAGGAACCATCCCGTTTACACATGGTGTCCAGTGTCACCACAATGCTCACCCAGCTCTGCGTGAGCTGTTTCAGGTTTGCTTTCCTTTTCAAGAGAACGCCACAGCAAACAAACCCAGGGGGACAGTGGCAAGGCACTTCCAGACTGGACTGATACACATTTGCTTCACTTAGCCATGCCATTATTAACTAGTGAGTATTTTTGGTCACTGATAAACTAGTTAGAAGGAAGCCCAGAGATCACACATTCACCCAGTTTCATGCTGTCCTAAATGAGCAACTACATTTATGCAATCAAGCCTTAACAACTCTTGCACTACAAAACAGAGCATTGGGAACATCTGCCTGCAGAGATAAGCTCTCCTAATAGCACGCTACTCACCTGTTCCAGATCCACATCATCAGCCAGTTTCATATTTTTTGTGTGGATCTGCAGGATCTCCAGGCGCCCGGTAGCATCTGGGATACCGATATCTACCTCTCTGTCAAAACGACCTAGGGAGTACAAAACATATGTTGAGCTGCTGATTCTGTGAACTAGAGGAGCTGCAGTTGCTGCCTTCCTCTGACTGAACAACATGATGACAAACCACAAAAACATACAAACTCAGAAAATGCCAGAGCGTTGGGTTTCTCTGCAGCATCTATCAGCACAGTAGCAGAGTCAGATCAGAAAAGAAGGAAAGGCTTTAGCCTTTTAGGGGAGGTGAGAATACTGTATTAACGAGAGTTCAAGATTATAGGACAGAGAGGATTGCTGGTTTAGTACTTTTTCTGAGCCTCATTTTTAGGAAAATGTGCTTCCCTGAATCAACATACCATGACACTTTTTTGTTTATTTCTACCTTTGTGTCCTCATCCCAAGAGTCGCAAATACTGAGAGATTTCGTTTTTCAGAACTTTCACAGCAGTACCCAAGTGGTGAAAAACATGAACTGCCCCAATATCTGGAGAGGCAGGAAACCTAGGTATTACTGCAATATCAACTAAGGTACATACACCTGTCATTTTCCTCTAGCCATAGCTGTGCATTCAAGTGGCTCGCTACACATTTAAGAGGCCATTTTCCCCTGCACACTTGACTGGTTTGCTATTACAGACTTTTCCAACTGGTCATACACCAGACGTTCATTCACAATGCAAAGTTTTGAAAACCTGAGTCTCAGGAACTACCGCACCTCTCATCAATAAAAGAAAGAAATCAGACAATTGAGAGCCTTCTGAAACCTAAAGCACGAACATCGCCTTAAGCATTTACTCCTTCAGTGTGTCCTGAAATAGCTTCACCTAATAGAGGCTAGCACACTTTTCCACTTCAAAGTATTTTTTCACTTCTACAAGTTCCAACCTAGTATGGCACAGAAAATGATACCAAAGGCTGGAAGCCTAGAAATGCATTTCAAATAAGAAACTATTGACTTGTCTCCAGCTGATGTCACACACAGAAGACGTTTAGTATTAATTTCTGCTCAACCATTCCAAGGCCACTGAAGCACAGCCTGTAACAAAGTATGTGATACACAAGAAAGTGACTGCAATTGTGGTTACCAAATCGCCTGAGTGCTGGGTCGATGCTGTTAGGTCTGTTGGTAGCTGCCATAACGATCACGTGCGCTCTCTGTTTCAGTCCGTCCATAAGAGTCAACAGCTGAGACACTATGCGACGTTCCACCTCTCCATGTGTCTATGGAGAGAGAAACCAGTGGTTAGACCAAAAGCTCTACAACAAAGCACAGGAGCTAGTACTGCACCAGAGCGGACAGATATGACAGCCACAAGCTGTTAAGAAACATCATGAACTACATCTGATTCTTTCCACATCCAGCTGAAGTCAGGTGTTAAGTTAAATACTGCTTTACCCTGTAGTCAAATGCAGAGATTCACGCCAGCTCCTACCAAAAAGGATGTACTACTTTACCTTCTCTCTCTTAGGAGCAATGGCATCCAGTTCGTCAATGAAGATGATGGCAGGAGCGTTCTTCTCTGCTTCTTCAAAGGCTTTCCTCAGGTTGCTCTCAGACTCACCAGCCAGCTTGCTCATGATCTCAGGACCTGAAAAATAGTGGCACTGTGGCACCCAGAAGAGAGGCAGCTAGCCCCAAGACAGGCAGCTGAATTTTTTTTAGTACACCGTTCACATGGAATAATCTATACGTCAAGCCAAAGCAAATACTATCAACTGAATTCAATACATTTGCAGCTGAACAGGCAAGAACAGCATGCAGAATGACTTTCTATTCTATTTCATTATTCTGGTGTTCTCAGTTTACTCTAACAGAATGCGGTGCTAGTCAATGAGCTACCTTTAGGTGCCTCTTTCCTTACCCTATTTCACACTTGGTGAGCTTCTCTGTAATGTGCCACCACACACTGTTAATGCCAGTCTAGCTTGCAAGAGAACCAATCAAATTATACGGTGATGAATTATCAGGGTAGGGAAGGAAAAAGCTCTAAGATACTGAAGCTGCCTTTAGCTTACGTTACACAGGTATACATTTACCTCTATAAGATCCTATAAATGAGTATTAAAAAAACCCCAACAAAACAAAACCAAAAAACCAAAACCCCAAGCCCCATCTCCTCTCAAAGACTAAAACGGAAAAAAAAAAAAACAATGTAAGCACATCAATCCCAGGAGGGACAGCATTCCCCTGAGATCTCCCTCAACTGCCGAACACTCGTGCAGGCTTACAGATTTATTCTGTTTTTCCAGATTTTTCTATCATGCTGATGGGAGTGGTGATGAAGAGAAAGTATGCTTCTAAAAGATCCAATAAAAAGAAACCTGACCCTCAGGAGTGCAAAGCCGCTAGCTGACTGAAGCCTGCCAGCTGCAGAGCCACTGGTGAGGCCAGGTACTAAGAGTGTTTCATTACAGGTAACTCTCCAGTTCACACCAGCTCTGTCTACAACACTGCCTGCAGATCCAGGCTTGGGACCAGCAGACAGAATGCATCACTAACTCTGACAGTGTTATTTTTATTATGCAATAGAAGTACAAGTGTCTAAAGAAACGGATGGCTCATTAGCATTCAGTGACAGCTTCCACACACTTTAGGAAGTATATGACAAGGGTGACATATGGTTAAAAACCAGCCTATTTACATCTGATATCTTAAGACACAAAGCAAGTCACTTCCCTACTGCTGCTCTCTGCTATGCCTTTGCTATCACCTTCATGGGTCTATGTGATTGCTATCAGAAAAGAAAAGCAGCACTCCTTAAGTAAAAATGTTCAGTTATTCCAGCACTGACTGTAAAATGGGACAGCAAAGCAGTGAGAAAAATTCAGAATTTGGTTCTTACTGGATATAAACCAGTAACCATCTCAACTGCTACAGGTGAGAGTTACCAATAGGAGGTTCTGTCACTTGTAGCTAAGTCCCAAGGTACTCATTATAGCTTTCAGGAAAGTTCCTCACAATTAATGCTATGTGAAACAAAACAGGTCTTTGTGCTTTACTTGAGGGGAAAGAGAAATCCACAGCAGATCAGCTTCTTTTCTGAATGGAACATGGTGGCAGCAATGGAAGCAAGCGTCCTGCACCCATACACTTAGAATAATCTCAGCACTTCACTCCCAGCTGTGCCCTCAGCAACACAAATGAACACCCAGACGGACAGACTCCAAGTGCCCATGCTGCAAAGCTGCCTTCCAACCACCCTGCTACAACACAATCAAGCGTAAGGGAAGTGCCGCTACATATGCTTCCACACAAATGGCCTCCAAGTGTCCCCAGAGGCTCACTTGAAAGAGGTAAGGAGGGATGTTGGGGAGACAATGCCACTCTACAAGCCCTGTTAATGCCATTCATTACCATAAGACAGACGAATGAGCACACAGCAGGTCCGGGGACAAAGCAGCCACAAAACTTACCGTTGATCAGGAAGAAGAAAGCCCCCGTTTCGTTGGCCACTGCTCGGGCAATCAGCGTTTTACCAGTGCCAGGAGGACCGTACAGCAGGATCCCACGTGGAGGCTGAGGACAAAGGCAAAGGACTTAAGTGGTGAGCTACCACCTGAATGCCTAAGTAGCTTCACAGTGAAATTGTAAGCCTTTGATAAAGCCAGTCCGAAATTGTGATGCAAACTCATGCAACAGCTGTCATCCCAGCATTGCTATCAACACCCTTACTACTTTGCATGACACACAAATAAAAATCTTGCCAGTAACTGACAGCGCTGATTCAAAGCATCACTCTGCTTTACAAGTTGCTAGTACTTTCATCTGTGTCCAGAACATGTAAGGAAATACTTTCCTAACATCAGCATTAAACAAAAGCCCACAAATTACTTATTCCAAATGCTTCGTAAACCTCTGACATCAAGAGTCATCTGCAAGGACACACCCATTCATCCACCTGGTGCACACAGGGACTTACCTTCACCCCTATGGCCTTGAAGAGCGCAGGGTGTCGGAGGGGAAGTTCCACCATCTCTTTGATTTGAGCCAGCTGCTTCCGGCAGCCACCAATGTCATCATAGCCCACTTCATTCAGTGACTCCTCTTCATCCTATCCAGGAGATACATTCAATGTCTGAGTGAAAACAATAGTTCAACAATCCCTCCCAGTCTACAGAAGCCAGGTGTTGTGGTTTAGCCCCAGCCAGCAGCTCAGCACCACGC